CTGCGATTGCATCCAGTGTCGCTTGTCAGATCAATAACTCCTTTTGACTTTTTCATGAATACCAGAATTCTCACTTCTAATTCTGTGCAGAGTTCTTTAAGAACTGCTTCGCCACGTTTCTTTGGCGAATAGTGATACTTCCTGCCTAGATCCGCGAGTGTTTAGTCTTTTTGCTTAAGCCAAGTATATTAGCTGCGTCACTTATAATATACTGTTTGAGCTGTTGGTAGAGCAGTTCAGTGTCTGTCAAGTAAAAAGCTGCCTGTCTGCTGTTCATCTCGTCTTGGAACGCCGCGCCAGATTCTTTTATCGAATTGCGACGCTTTGCTACCATTGTGAAGTGGCTCGAGCCATCTTCAGCTCCACGTCGTCCCCCGATGTCACAAAGGCTGTTGACCATATGTGGTCTGATGGCTACTGAAGCGTTAACCAGGTGCTGTTCCCATCAGCTGGAGTATTTGATGGTGGGGAAACAGCATACCGCTGACAACGAGGCAGGTAAATGGAACAAAGGTGTAACAGCCACCGGACATTGTCACTGAGCGTCGCGCAGATATGACCTACGCGTTCATGTTACCGATGATGATGCATAATTGATGATGCGAGAACCGAGAATTGCGCGAAAATATGTATTTAACGTCCTTCCTTCCACTCTCGGTGACATTGGCGGAGTCCTGCACGACCACAGCGTTGACTTTGTTGCACTACGGCAAACGAGCATTCGGTCGACCATGTACTGGATGGAGGTGAAGCAACATTTACACTCCTACTGAGGCGCGTGTAGTCATGGTTCCCATACCCTTGAATCTGCCATCTGTTTTCCAGGCGATCTGGCCGCCGAGGTGAATTTCTGAGATCATAAGAATGTGGAGATGCTACCGGCTGGCTGTTCGGACGACGTCATTCAACTACATGCCGTCCGTTTAAAATTCATTCCTGCAGGTGATACGAATTTTTCTTTGTTGAGTTTGATCAGCTGGAGGTCAGATATCTTGTTGTTAAGCGTTCGAATCTCTAGACGTACACCCCTCGTTACAGAGGCGTTGCGTTACCGAGTCACGTAGTGAAGCGTATGCTCTACGTGACTTCACGAGTCGGCGTACTTAAAAACTTTGTGATTGCTTGATAGCATTTAGTGATAAGTAATGACAGATATAGATATCTTTTTTATTATTGCAGCCGCCCACGCAGTCTCAGTATTATGCAATCTGGTTGGTGTTTTTACTGTAATAATTGTGGTTTCAGGAATTATATTTGGCGTCGCTTCGACAGCATTGGGCAATGCTGTTTGATTTGATGAATTTTTGCTTTGCGAATGTAGTTTTCACTCTTATTAATTTTTATTGTTCACTGAATTTTTCTTTGTTATTTTTTGTCATTCAGTCCTTCCACACTCGTCGTTTGTACATATTTTTCGAAGGAAGTTTATATGATATGGTAATTATGACAATTATGAATCGGTTCGTCGGAATGATAAGAGGGTAGGCGTATATATTTCGAGTGAGCCGTCAATGAATGATGCTATTTTTTGCAATCTGTAGCGCTTATATGACGGTTTTCTTGCATGATCGTCGATTTTCTTGCATGTGTGCGGTTACTAACTATCGAATAAATTGTGACATTCTGTCAGTAGTACTATTCATTTATAAACAGTAACGTGGTTTCATTTACGTGTTATCTTATCCATTGTTTTTAGGCTTCTGGTGTGAAGATCGATCCTCAGTGCAAAAAGGATTATGACGATATGCATAGCCGCAAGATGTATTCATATCTTATATTTCGAATTTCGGACGATGACACAACAGTCATTGTTGAGAAAAAAGGGCCGAAGGGATCTTCGTACAAAGACTTTGTCGATGTAAGAGTTTGTGGGGATAATTTTTTCTTATTCAATAAGTGCATTTAAACATTTGAAATTTTAAAGTTGTGCTTTATTCTTGCATTATGTAGGAAAGCATTTTTGGAAACTAGCGAAGTGTCAAAAGCTTTCAAAATATTTTTGGTAACCTGTAAGAATTGTTTTCTTCGCGATTTGCAGTTAGTTTCTTTTTTCACTTAGCAGCGGCTCGTAAAATATGGTTTGAGTGTTACACGATTTCAACATTATTTTTCTCCGTTTGGAGAAGCATTTTGAATTATGAAAGTAGGTTAGAATGGAATAATAAGCTTTTTTCTTATCTTCTTTCGAAGTGTAACCCTTACATCGATAAAGGGCTTGTATATTTTCATAATCACTACTTCCCTTTTCTGGGAGAAAAAATTTCTTCCTTTGTGGTTGCCTCCTGTCAGAATCTCTAGCGCTAAAGTTTGACCGAAAGATTAAATTATTCCGATGACATCTATATTTCCGTCGCTTATAAATATTTGTATGCCATGTACTTCGCTCCATTGGGATATAGTTCTTTCGAAAATTATTCTTGATTTTACCATGTACTTAAGTTGCAGTCAGTGGAGTTGTTTGTAGCTCTCAGTAAGGGGCTGTGTTAGCGAACAGGCATTCGATTTCAGGTCCTATATGGAACAAGTAAAAAATAAACAGAGCGTCGTCGTTGGTGCTGATCTTGTAGAAGCTGCTGTATCCCGGTACCCAAATGTCATTTTAAATCAGTTGATTAGCTTGACTATGCGGTGTATGGCAGGTTTGGTAGGGGACTGGTGTTTCTTTCTGATTGCGAGATGTAGAGTAACAATTTTAATTAGTTAGTTCTTCTCGGTAAATTTTTGATCGAGTTTGGGTTCGCGATTGTTATCAGTGATTGCTGCAACTGAACATTTTTATTCAGTAGTGGGCGAGACATGCTGGAGGATACATGGTCGCATAGGATACGGCTGTTTTTAAAATATGAGCATTACTGTAAATAGATTGGGTCAGCACCTACAGATATCATCTTTGCTTGATGGGGGTCATGTCAAGTCCTAATTTCTGCGTTCATTACCTTTTGGTACACTTTGATGATCTCTTTAAGTTCGTAAATGTGTAGTTATTGATTTTCATTCTTTGACTCGGCTAGTGGGTATACAGTGGAAGGATTCGAAAGAAAATGGGTGCTTCATAATGACTTGATTTCATTCACGCTCTTCACTATAGATCTCCCCACTGAAAGACACTTGTTTCGACCTCGTACCCGCTACATTATGCACGCGGTAAAGCGTTATTTTTAATCGGTCTTCATACGCTGAACGTCGTACGGATTCAATGGTAGGTGATACATCTGATTCACAGTTGTGGTGTAGTCAGGCTTTACAAAAACAGGCTCGCAATTGTGGTTCAAAGCCGCAACTTCACTATTCGGCTTTGCATAATCAAAGACGAAATTCCGGAAACTTGCATTCTGGAGAACTGGCACAAACGCTAAAACGTGATTGTGAATTGTCAGAATTCGCGTATCTTTCAGGCGAACGTACTCTGCGATTGATGAAAGCAATACAAACCAGCTTTTCTGAATTGACTGGATGATTTTTGTCATGGAATCAGTGACAGGAACGGCAGTCATAACTAGCTCTAACGATCAAATGTTATTTCCTGTGAAACTGAAGTTGCAAATTCTCTTATAGTGTGCTTCGAAAAGCTGCGTTGGTTATATTTTCGCGAAGATTTTTAACCTCTAATCAGCATCGGCTCAAGGGCCACGATCATCACTTGGCCAAACCGTGGGAATTGTGACTGTCTTCAAGTCTCCGCGCCCTTAAGGATCTTACAACAAGGGAGTGGTAGATGACTTTTAGGCTGTCAGTATTTCGTCAAGGTGACGTTTTGACCTGTGTTGGGCATTGTGTCGCAGTAAGTGTTGAAGTTATATTCTCTCCTGAACGCCGCCCTGATCCCGGTGAACGATTTTTTTTTATCTCAGTGAATGAAGGCATTCTCGACTGAGGCATCTAGACTTGCTTGTGGTAAGTTATACCAGACTCCTTAATGGTAGAGATTTGATCACAGCAAATTAATTTCCGGTTATTCCTCGCTCTCTCGCGTGCTATTTCTCGTTTTTATATGCAGATTGTGGAGAAATATCTTACACAATGATTTTTTCTTATGCGGCGAACCTAGCGGTGAGTTTCCAAAAGTATGTTGATGTTTTCTCGTATTGTTCATACACAGCCAACCCAACGTATCCGTTCCAGTGAACCGTTTAGACTTAACAGTTGACCCAAGCCGAAAACAAAAATATGTCCAAAAGTACTGATTAAAACTGGTCAATTGGTTGGCTACCTGTAGAGTAGAGACTTAGTTATTTAATTAGTTTTACACGAAATTCCTTTGGCAGCTGATCATGTAGAAGCTCAGTAGTCAAACTAATTAATTTTGATACTTGTATCACTTATGATGACAACGTTTCCTTGAACGGGTGAGGAAACTGACATCAGACGTCCCAATGCGCTGAGCGTCAAATTTTAATGCAGATGTTAAGTGTGCATTTCAGCCATTGTTCACAGAATGTGGTCGGGAGATCTGATGTAATTAGATTAACGCACCCTTCCAGCCATTTGGTTCCCATGTAGTGAGCGCATGCTGAGCAGATGGCTGACCTGAACATTGTATATGGTCATCTCGAGAGATGAACGCTGTACGTCGGTTACGTCATAATGTGCCATCTAGCGGCACTGTTCGTCCTAAGCAGTAAACATTCTCATTTCTGTTGTTTCGGTAATGTTCCGTTGATTGCAGTTCGTTTAAAAATCCCAGCGCAGTTGTCATCTGAAATTCCCTCTTTGACCAAGCTGTTTTAGCTAAGTTTCTTCTGCTCTTCTGTAGCCTCCGCTTTCAGCGCATAGTTCTTCAGTTAATGATATGTGACTCTCTGCGGACAAAATTTTGGTTACTGAATTTTAAGTATCTCAGAAATTTTAGAAACCCCTGTCGATCAAGAATTTTCCGTATGCAGTAGTCTACCATGAAAAACAGATCAATATGTCGTAAGATTAGCCGATCGAGCTTTAAAATGAAGGTTAATGATGTCATGGACTGTGAAGCTATCGGTTTTTTCTTCCCGTAATTCCATTCCGTGCGTGTATCTCGTGGAAGGTAGCTGCTGCGAAGGTACCGTTCTAAGTTGTGATGATGAATTACTACGCAGACGTAAAAATTAAACTAGAGGTAAGAGGAGGTCGCCTACGCATATAATCTTTGCTCCCTCGGTGGTTCGTGTATGTCATTCATACCATAGCCTCACAGATCGGTGTGAACATAATAATTTTCGTATATCCGGTACTTATTAAAAGATGACGGCTGTTGCCTTCTTTTCGTGCCTGCGCGAGTAACCACTTTTCCGCCGTAGGCCTGTTGAGCTGATAGAGTCAGCTTTTTGCCAAAAGTTTCCAGTTTGCGCCATCACACCGAATGACTAATCAGTAATTCATTCTGACGTCCTAAAATATTACATTTTTTATTGAAATGAGAAACCGCTGACTGTTTTTTCCCGCAGCAGTTTATCATTTTATAATGCATTTGTGATTATATAATTTTATTGCTAGGTTTAAAGGTAACGTGTGTTCAGTGAAATTATTCATATATGTTCTCGTAAATGCTACCACGGCCTTCAGCAGCTGATTTCAGCGTTATGCACAAAACTGAATTTGGATGTATCTTAAATAAATTGCTTTTTTGTTTGATGATGTTCCATGTGTGCTTGTCTTGTTCATACTCGGATCTCCTGGACTATGGAACCACCCTATATCTTGGTTACTTATTCGTACGCGATGATGCGTCGCTCCTAGGTGTTTGAACAACTTACATTCTTGCGATACATTATTTTATTGACAATAATACGTTGCTTGTTGCTGTCGAAATTTTAAAGCAGATACTCCTGCTTTTGCGTGGTATCATTGCTCTTCAACGGTCTGTGTTATGGTTTCATTCTTCACATTCTCTGGAGGCGATAGTTATCCGATAGACATGATAGATCCCTTCTTTACGTTTAGCAGAAATGTGTCTTTAACGCATCGACAAAGATCATTCGAATGATGGTTGTCCATATTTATTCTCAGAAATGATGGCGGATGAATTGAATTTTTTAAGTGAGAACAGCACTTTGATTCGTTTTTAAACAGCAATCCGCTGTCGAAGGTCATGTTGAATGTTTAAAGTTCATTTTTTATTCATTCATTCATCTTCCATCGCCGCTTCTCCTTTCGGGTCGCGGAGGCAGACGAGTCAGACAGTGCTT